CCTTGTTACTCTTACCTGTAATGTAAGAATAAATATTCTTACTTCAGATATAAAGTAGAAATGATGACATTTACTTTATAGGGCACTTCTGGGAAGTTGAGTGAAAAGTCCTGTAGAGCACATAGTCCAGTGCCCTGCCCACAGTAAGTACTTGATAGACGCCAGTTGTTATTGTTTTGCTGTTGCATAATGGAAGCAATGTCTTTGATTCCATATTGATTTGTTAGCATGGTAGATACTGTCTGTCAGAAATTTTATATCTCTACTAATATACTTCTTTGGGTAATATAGAGCCCATGAATTAATTATTCCTCAAACCCCAAATGCCAGGATGAGGGCACAGCATTGATTGGCTCCGTCTCCCACTAGTGAGGGAAGGAAGGTGTCTCTTGTAGCTGTATCTGTAGAAAGAGATTTACTAAGCTACAGAAACTAGGAATGGTGGAATGGAAGCAAAAGAATAAACTCATGGAAATTTCACTCATATTCTTGTATCAAGGAATGTATTGGTGGTTTTTGCAAACTTAAACTTCCACCAGAATCACCCGGGAGATTTTAAAAAATATAGATTTTGGGGCTTCAATTAGGACTGAATACATTAGAATTTTCTGAAATGTCTATTTAGAAAGTAAGTTCCCTGTCCTGCAACTCCCCTGGTAATTTATACGCAGCTAGCTTGGTACCAGCGTTTGAGTACTGGCATACACTGTGATTAGTAGTTGATGCCATTATTAGGTAGACATTCTGGACCAGGTAGAAGAGATAATTTGCTCCTTAATTTGGTCTCGTTGAAGGCATCCTAGGACCTATGTGCCCTTACTTCTGGATTGGTGACATCAGGGGGGTGAGAGGAACTAGAGAAATGAGGGGCTATTGTAATTTGTGTGGTGATCCTTTGTTTTCTGTGAATCTCCTGGAACTTCATCTTAGAGCTTAGAAGGCATGTGCCATCTCTCATCCTTCAGCAACAATTCCTAGTGCTACATTTAAACACTTCATCAAATATTCAGTTCATGGTTATAACACCTGGTTTGGCAAAAACCACAGGTAGCTGAGAAACAGAGTTGAAAATTTAAAACACCAAAACAAACACAGCAAAGAAAACAGTTTGCTTGAACATTTTTGTTAATACATTTTGTTTCTAAGAATGTAGCCCTTTTTGCTTTGACTACTAGAAAGCTTAGAGCCAAGTTCATGGCTGACTTTTCACAAATACATAATAGTGTGTTTTGCCAGGCATTTTATGTATTCCTCTCGCTCTTGGACTCTTGTTTCCTACCCATATTTACTCTTTAACATGATTTCTTTAGTTATCTATTTTTTATCCTAATGTACCTTGTATAGCATAAAGCATACAAAATCAGTTTTGGAACAAGTGGGCTTTTGAACAGATAGAAAAATGTGTTAGGCAATTGGCACAAAAGATATTATTTCTGCCCCAAAGAGCTCACAATTTAGTGTCCAGAGAGACACATAAAAACATAAAACAAGTTGCAATACTGTTTTGTAAGAGCTATCAAGGTGGTGTAGGCACAGTGCTCCAAGGAATACAACTGAGGGCGCATCACCATTTGTTCAGTAGCATGCATTCTGTGCCTGTTATGAGCCAGCAATTCTTTTAGGTCCCACAGACACATATTCCCTTAGCCCAAAGGAGCTCAAGTCTAAGGGGAAGACAAGTTCTTAAGAGAATAACTCCACAGTCATATGCTGCTTAATGATGAGGACACATTCTGAGAAATGCATCTTTAGATGATTTCATTATTTTGCAAACATCAGACTGTGCTTATACTAACCTAGATGGTATAGCCTACTATATTCCTAGGCTGTATGGTATAGCCTATGGCTTCTAGGCTACAAACCTATACAGCAAGCTTGTCCAACCTGTGGCCTGCTGTCCACATGTGGCTCAGGATGGCTTTGAATGCAGCCCAACAACACAAATTCATAAACTTTTTAAAATCTTTGAGATTGTGGCTGGGTGTGGTGGCTCATGCCTGTAATCTCAGCACTTTGGAAGGCCAAAGTGGTTGGATCACTTGAGGCCAGGAGTTTGAGATCAGCCTGGCCAACATGATGAAACCCTGTCTCTACTGAAAATACAAAAATCAGCCAGGCATGGTGGCACATGCCTGTAATCCCAGCTACTCAGGAGGTTGAGGCACAAGAATCGCTTGAACCTGGAGAGTGGAGGTTGCAGTGAGTCAGGATGGTACCACTGCACTTCAGCCTAGGCAACTGAGTGAGATTCTATTTCAAAAACAAAAAACAAAACATTATGAGGTTTTTTTTTGCCATTTGTGTATTTTAGCTCATCAGCTATTTTTAGTATTAGTGTATTTTATGTGTGGCTCAAAACAGTTCTGCAAATGTGACCCAATGAAGCCGAAAGTTTGGATTCCCCTGCTGTATGGCATGTTACTGCACTGAATATTGTAGGCAACTATAACACAATGATAAGCACCTGTGTATCTAAGCATATCTGAACATAGAAAAGGTACATTAAGATGATGGTATTATAATCTTACGGGACCCCTGTTGTATATGTGGTTTGTCATTGACTAAAATGCCATTATGTAGCACATGACTGTACTATAAAGAGATTCCTTCTAAAACCAAGTATATATAAAATGCTGTGAAAACACAGATGAGAGGCAATTAATTCTGTCTGGGAAAGGAAGTCTTAAGGAGAGAGAGTTACAGAGAGGTGATGACATTTCGGCTTGATCTTGTGCATAACAAATGACTTCCTATAAGGTATTTTCCACCTGTTTTGAATTAACTAAAATGATTAGGTCTTAGAATTTATAAAGGTCATCTTTACTAGCATGAAAAAAGTGGATCACTCTTGTAAAATAACCATTTAAAATGCAACAGCCTGATTTTTGAATGGGTGCTAGTATGAATTAATTCTAAAGTTCAGAAGAAAGATTTGGAAATGGAAATGGATGGGGGCAAAATTATCAGGGATTTGACAGAAAATAGTGCTATCAAATGTATATAATAATTACAATATAATTCATATATATATATAATAATGATTACAGCTTCCTACCATACTACATTGCCTTTTAGTTTGTGCTTGACTGACAGGCCTCACTACTGGAAACGATTTACTGACTAATGAGACCATCAGAGACTTTGTACTCTTTGGCAGAAACAATGCTATGTATTCTCCAAACCTACTTCCTTTTCCTTCTGGGTTTACTGCTAAACTCCACTTCCCAGTATCCTTGCTGATCTCTGCCACTTCCAGAACTGGCCTGTCGAAATCTCCTACGCTTCATCTTTTACTCTCTTGCTTTCCCTTCCATTGGGACTTGCAGGTCACATGTTGAGGACAATAATGTCAAGAGGTGAAAGAAGCTTGAGTCCCTAAGGGACACGTAGAGGAGAACACCCTAAGAAAGCTGTTAACCCGGGATATCTGACTGGATTTTGCATGAGTGAGCCAAGTATCATTTTGTATTGTGCGCGGCCACTGAAATTGGAGGTTGCTTGTTATAGCAGTTATTCTATGCCAGTTTACCCTCTGTGAAATTATGTAAACACTTCTGCTTTTATATTTACTTCCTTTAGCTCCCTTCCATCCATCCTCATCATCATGTAACATGCTGTGAGGAATTTAATGAATGTTTACAGAATTCATGAATCAAGATATTCTTTTCAGATATTGAGCAAAGTTAGTATTGCAACTTCAGTCTGTCAAATATACATAACTTAGGTCAGGAAAATAAACAGAAGACCATTCAGTTCTCAGAGGAGCTACATTACATTTACCATGATGTATTTGTTCATGTAACACACACAAATGGGATATCTCAGAATGTGGTCCCTGGGCCAGATACAGGACACACACACACACACACACACACACACACACACACACACAATGTGAGGGGAGCATTCCCTTCTTCATTGTGTGACCATGTTTGGTACGGGGCCTTTCAGGATGTAAGAAATAAGTCAGGTCACTTGACCTTAGCTTTAGAGACCTGGATTTGTTTAGCAAAATCAGTAGAGTTTTAAAATAGCTGTTTCCACTTGTGAATTATGATGTTATTTCTATGGCATTCTAATGGACTTGAACAATTTATTCCATAAAGAATATTTCATAAGTACCTCCTGCATATTAAATAGGCATTGCTCTAGTTGTTGGAACTAATACAGTGAACAAGAAATATGGACCCTGCCCTCAAGAACCTTATATTCTAATGGTGAAACAGACATGTAAAATACAGTGACAGTTGTTATCATAGAGGCAATCCAGGACCTGTTGCTTTTTTTTTCAGCATTTCCTTCTCATTCTGGCCGAAAAGATAAGGCTATACTACTTCTGTTGTTTAAATCCAAAGCAACATCAAAAAGAATTTCTCTATGTGTGAAATTAAGCTTAATTATTAAGTTCCTTAAATTTGTTTTGTCTCCATCATAATGGGTATGGCAAGGTTTAGGAGTTGGAGGTAAGGTTTAGGAATGGAGGGTACATTTTCAAACATGTTAATTTATTTTAAGGCTGTGGTAGGACCATGCATATGCATTAATCTGTAATTAGGTAGCCACATATTTCTAGGTAGGCAGCAATATACATGAGAATTTCCTTTTTTATCACTATCGCTAAGTTTCTTAGTGGCTAAGTCCTTATTCCTTAATAAGGTGTCAAAATAGTGAATTATTAAACTTATGATTATTGAACCTAGTTTGCTTGCATTCAAATTCCCATGTCTCTAATACATCCTCATGTTGCCATGAGGTTACTTTCCTTAAACTTTACTTATTGCACCTGTTTACCCTGTTGAAAACACCTTCAGAGGCTCTCATTGCTTAATGAATCATATCCGACTCTATAATAGCATTTCAGTGCTCTTCACTGTCTACCACCATGTATGTTTCTAATTATAACAGCACCCCTTGATCCATCCCCTTACACACCCAAAGTATCGAATACTCTCTCATCTCATAGTACCTCAATACTTTTTCTTACTCTCACCCCTTCACAGAATCCTGAGGCTGTCCCATGACTCTTCACTCATTATGCTTCCTGAATGCCAAGATGCCCTGCAGAAAGACTGTGTTGTCAGAAATTGGAGCTGAAGGTAGGTTAGCTGAGCTCAGCACCTGCGGATGGGTCACAGGAGGAGATCATGGCAATGGCATCTGTGGATCTTAATTAACTGATGTTCAGGGGACCTACTGAACTCCACCTGTCTGACCTCTGACTAGAGAGTCTCAGACCTGTTCCCCACAGTTAATATTGTCTGATCTCCCTTCTTCAGTAAAATGGGTGTAGGGGGGACAGAACCTGAGTCACTGCTGCCTAAAGAGTCAGGATCTGGAAGTGTAGTCTCTTCCTTATGTGTGCTGTCAGTCACCTGCCGTGTCATCATCTGAATACTTATAAAATGCAGATTTCCAGGCACACAGCAGACCAACTACAACAGACTTTCCAGAGTGGGAGTATGTCTGACATTTTCACTTTAAACAATTATTCTTTGTGGTTTATTCAAGTCTGAGAGTCACTGCTCCCCAGATGAGCAAACAGTCTGTGAGAAAATCCTGGTATCAGTCCTTCTAGTGCCACCATGAAATTGAGAGTTGGCTGGGCACAGTGGCTCACTCCTGTAATCCCAGCACTTTGGGAGGTAGGGTTGGGCAGACCATTGGATGCCAGGAGTTCAAGACCAGACTGGCTAACATGGCGAAACCCCATCTCTACCAAAAAATACAAAAATTAGCCGGATGTGATGGTACGCATCTGTAGTCCCTGCTGCTTGGGAGGCTGAGACACAAGAATTGCTTGAACCCAGGAGGTGGAGGTTGCAGTGAGCCAAGATTGTGCCACTGTACTCCAGCCTGGGCCATAAAGTGACCCTGTTTCAAGAAAAAGAAAAAGAAGAAAGTAAGAGTTAATTCACTTTCCTGTCTTTGTCTAGTTGATACTAGTGTTTGGCTTTTCTACTGCCATGTGGATAATGGGAAAGTGGAGTCGAAGGAGTGGTGGGATGAGGGTAAATAAGGAAGGCACCTCCCCTGGTACTGTCCTTCACTGTCACAAGGAGGGGAATAGAATGTTATTGAGAGGCTGAGCAATTATACTGATATCCTTATTACCCATTAACTGTTTTCTTGAGCATTAGATATTGAGCAGGCAAACTGAAAAATGTCCACAGTCTCTGATGTCTCCCATTTCTTGTCCTTCACCCCATCCCAATCCTGTTTCTATAATCTTTATCCTCATGTCTAAATCTTGGTGACATTGCTGTAACAGTGGTGAGATATCAGAAGTATTAGGGAACGTGTAATGATTCCTTTTTATTTGCATCTACTTATTGTTGCTTTCTGAGTTTTTGTTTTTGTGTGCATTTTATAATGTACGTGTTATGTAGTGAACCATGTATGTGTATAAATGATAATACATATATTCAGGTTGAGTGCTTACTTTTCTTTAACTGATCACGTATACCCTCGAAAAAACTTCGCTATCAACTATCTTGTTCATGCAGCAACCCGATCCTCCGAGCTTTAGTCAATGACTGTCTCCTTTTTCCTGATAACTAAGGCCTGGGAATTCTGTGCTTTGGACTCTCCCAGGCCTTTAATAAATTTCCTTTTGATGCTTGTCCAATGGAAATAGCATTGCTATTTGACATTTCGAATTTCTCATTTCAGTATGTGACCTTGTAGGGTGTTGTTTTGAGGGAATCAAATCTTGATCTCAATCCAGCGAGCTTAACCCTTGAATGTTTCTCCACCAAGGTCATGGCCAGTTAAATACTTTGGTTATTCATATAATGCCCCAGAAAATTAAAGCTGGTCCTCAATTAAAAGTTTATTCTCTTCAACCTATGTGTGGCCTAACTCAAATTATTTGGTATGACCTTATAAATTTGAGACACAAAACGTTCATATTCTTAGCATCTTAAAACTTTCACCAATTAGCTATGTCAGAATATCCAGTAGTCATTTAATAGCAAATACCTATCTCTACATATAAAGTGCAGAATGTATAGGTATAACCCAGGGTCATTTAATTTCTTTTTAAGTGGGATTCTTTTGGGACCAGGGATGGTTTTTTTTTTTTTTTTTTTTTTTTTTTTTTTTTTTTTTAGTATAATAGATCTAAATTTATACACTTGGCTACTCTTCCAGGACAGCCTGGTCCCCGACATAAATCATCTCATTTCAGTAGCTACAGTAAGTAATTGGGCCCCTGGGACATTGTTTTCCGTCTTCTCTGCAGAGAGCCTCCTACAACCTCTGGGTTCTCCCCTGGGTGTGCAGGGTGATGGTGCCATTGCCTCTGGCCTTTTCATTTATTATTTATTTCATTTATTTCAGGATTCAGAGCAAATTGGAATTGGCAAAAAATGGAGAGAGTCTGTGGAAGGATAAATCCAAGGATCTCATAATTACCAGAAACTCTGGGGAGAGCAGAAAGGGAAAAAGGAACAAGAGAGAGAAACAAAATGAAATATTTCAAATCAGGAGACTTAAAAGAAAAACACAACAGTGAATTCTCAGGTCTCAATAACAAAAAGCCTGTTTTAATAAAGTTTTTTTTGTTTTGTTTTGTTTTTGTAAGGCTAAACACAGCTTCCGTTGCTAGCAGGCCGAGAGGGCTGGGTCTAGGCCAGGAGCTCTACCAGGAAGCTGATAAAGACTTACAGTATTGCCTCCCTGGGGCCAAGAGCATCCCTATAAGCCTTTGTTTTTCCTGTAGTAAACACCCATGGATTATTTTTCCCAGTCCCTAGAGTACAAAAGGGTCAGCTTACTGCCAAGTTATAATAAAGTTTTCTCTTTGGTTTCTGGTTTATGAAATACTTCCCAGCTTTTGTACAAAGATTAATTTGCTGCAATAGAACTTGATTACAATTCAATAGCTTTTATCCTACAACTTTCACCTTGGACCAATTCCTCTAGAAACAGAGGGTTTTTAAGTGATACAATTCCAACTGATATCAATTAAGGTACCTTACTCAAAGGCAGTATAATGTGTGTGAATGCTCGTTAGCCCAGAAACCAACATAGAGTCAGCACTTAATAAAGTGTCTCTCTTTTCTTCTCTGTATAGATAAAATCAGTATATAAACACACATATACATTTCTGTCATCCAGAATTGGAGAGTTTGAATGAATTCTAGAGAATGACATAGTTCAGCAATGTGATAGATAAGCACTATTATTATCCATGCTGTTCAGATGAAGAAACTGAAGTCTAGAAAGGTGAAATGACTTGAGAATCACAGTCAGGATTCAAATGCAGACCTGTGTAACTCCAGTAATTCTGTCCTAAACACTGTGTTAGATTGCCTCCTAGGTCTACTCAAACTCATGGCATCCTTTTGAAAGTATTCACTATCTATTGCAGTGTAGCAAATCATCCCCAAAATTAGTGACTTAAAAGAAGAATGACTTATTTTCTTGTAAAGTTTCTGTGGGTTGTGATTCAGGACTGATAAAGCAGTTTTGACTCAGCATTTTTCATGAACTGCAGTCAGATGTTGGCTGAGACTGCAGCCATCTGATGGCTTGCTGGTGCTGGAACATGCGCTTTCAAGGAGTCCCACTTGTATAACTGGCAAATTAGTGCTGACTCCTGGCTGGGGCTTCTGCAGCTCTCCATGTGGCTCTGTCCACAGGACTTTTGAGTATCCTTATAGCATGGTGGCTGGCTTTCCTCATAATGAGTGATCCAAAAGACCAAGGCTGAAGCCATGAGGGTTTTTTTTTTTTGGTGTGAGCTAGCCTCACAAGTAACAAACCATTATTCCCACCATACGTCTACTGATCACACAGCTACCTTTAACTCCATGTGTGACGGACTATACACAGGTGTGACTACCACAAGGCTACCATAGCAAACCACTACTTAGTCTCTTTTTGCATAACTCCCTTCCAACCCTACTGTAACCTATCACTCTTAGTCTATATTGGCCCATCATGGACACCTCAATAAATATTAGCCTAGCCAATGAACTTAATAAACATTTGGATTCAGGAAGGTGAAGAAATGCTTCCAGTTTTTTGAGCATTGCTAGAGAAATAATGGAACTTAAGCTTTTGCAAATGACTCACTTTTCCCACCTGCTTTTCCTTTTCAGAAACTCTTGGCCTACCTTCCGTATAATCCTGTAATCCAGTAGTTGTACAGGGAGCCTCACAACTGAGGCTGAACCTCACAAATGCTTTGTCTGCCTCCACTGAGAATATGAGAATAGGTTTGGCATGGTGGTGCTTCTCAACTGAATAACTGCTTTTTCCTGAATAACTGCTCAGGAGAATTTCTAAAGGAGACTCTAGTCCTAGAGACAGCTGTGAAACAGGTCTCTTAGACACTCCAGAGTCAGCCACAAGCCAATTCTGTAATGACAAAGAGCTATACATATCCCCATGCATTAATAATGTTGGTTTCGTGATGGGTATTTAGAAATACAGCATATTGAAAAATGTCGGTTTGGAAAGAAGGCCCTTAGCTGACTAATATTCTTTTTACCATTAGCTGACTAATATTCTTTTTCTTATATATCTCTCCATCCTATATGTTTCATAATGAAGATAAGCCACCAAAGCACTAGTTAAGACAGGAATTGTGTCTTTCCAGAAACAATGCCTGGTGTGATTTTTAAAAGTAGAGTGTGCTTCCAGCCCCTGCATCTTTCTTGTTCCAAGGATGTCATCATCAATACTAATATAAATTTTTCATTGCTTGAGCCATTACAATATACAGAGAATAGATTTTTCAATTTTTCCAGTTCCACTGAGTATATTAGCAAAATTGTCTGTCCGTCAGCAGGCATGTGGTGACGCCAGTAGCATCTCTGATTTTGATAGTTCTTATTCTTTTTATGTTTACAGCTCTCCAGTGGAGAAAAGGCCAAGGACTTATTTGTAAACCATTCTTCCATGCACTGCTTCTGATCACTTTCTTTGACATTTCTTATTCTCTTGTATGAGTCTTTAAAATCATAAATACTAAAAGCAATCTAAAGGGTATGAAGTATGTATATTTCATTGATAAAAGTATAGGCTTTTAAAAATCATACTTTAAGATGCTTTATTTTATTAGTTATTTTTTATACACCTGTAAGTTAAA